AAAAAAAAAAAAGCTCTAAATAAATAAATTACATTAAATTAAATACAAACTCAAGTAACTTCATCAAAATTGACTCAGTTCATCTTCCCTCCACTCGTCAGTTCACACACCTGCTCTGTGGGATGTGAGAAGCCCACAGACCTCCATTTACTGGACAACTGTTACTCCCCCCTGCTAGGACACTGCACAGGTCACCCACAGGACAAATGTTTATTAAGCGCCACTATGAGCCATGGGGCTGGGCTGGTTATTTCCACATTGTTGACATCTGGACTGTTTTCTTGAATTATGAATGCATAGCAAGGATTATTAACCCGCAAAAAATCTAGAAGTACCACTGAGAAGCAAACCTAACCCGCAACATTTTATTCTTTAAACACACACAGATTCAGGTAAGAGGAAAAAAGCAGTCCAAAGGAAGCAGCAGCAAAGCAGGTGGCCTGCAAAATTATCCCAGTAAGACTGAGCTCAAACCACAATCCTAATGAAAATAAGAAGAAAGAGGACTGTTTGGAATGTCAAGGAAAATTACAATGGATCTCAAGTTGTCCATAGCACCAATTCTCATCAACTGCCCAAGATTATAAAAATAATTTGGAGCAAATGTACATAACTCTAATAAAAGTTACTTCGTAACTAAATGGTCCTTAGTGTTCATATATAGCACACAAGAAAATGGTCCTTGGACAATAAACTCATCTTCCTGCTAAAAACTAGTGGCTACATGGGCGCCTGGGTGGCTCAGTTGGTTGAGCGTCCCACTCTGGATTTCGGCTGGGGTCATAATCTCATGGTTCATGGGATTGAGCCCCATGTCCAGCTCTGTGACTACATTTTTCTTCATTCCATAAGCACTCAATGAGAAAAAAAAATTAAATTTCAACAGGACATCGTTTTCCCAAGACATCTGAAAACAGTAGATGTTAAAAGTCATTCTGAACTTCCAATCACAATTTATAATGGGATCACCTATAAAGCGCAACCTTGGAAAAATCTCACAGGGATTCAACAAAGCATAAAATGGCAAGGAACAATTTTTAAAAGTCAGTACACTGACAAGGCTCCGTAACAAACACCTGTCCACCATGCTCTCACTATTATTTCGATAACAATGCTAGCACCACAAAGAATCAGCACTGACTTACCCTAAACAACAGAACAGAGAGGGAAGCTAGTGGTTTCAGACAAAACCGTCAAGTGCTGCAGCTGGAATCTGAAGGAATCTCATCCCTTCAGGGCCCCAACCTGCTTCACTGTATGTAGATTCTTGTCAAACCAATGTCTGCCTTTAACCTGAAACCCCTTCACTAAAAACAGAAATCAAATCCTTTTTTCCCCAGGACTTGGGTAAGATAGAAAGCATCCAATATATACAGCCTAGAAAATCGTAATTCCCATGAAAGTTCAATCAAAGCAACATTCAGATAAAATGGCATGCAGATACGTGCATGTAATGTTAGATGGTGTGATTTACACATCCTTCAAAACTGCACAAAGTTAACCAACTTACTGACAGGAGGGCAAGTCCAAGGAGGTATAAACCCAAGTTTCTTGGGGAAAGGAATTATTCCTCTGAGCCATGAAAGGTGAAATCAGGAGAAACTGGGAAGGAGGGTGAGAGAGGTAAATAAGAGGGACCTGATCCAGCCCAAAGAAAACTTCTAAAGCCTTTTTTCAGAGGAACATTTCCAACCCCCACAACTTGCTGAGGCCTACAGACAAGATGCTGCCTACTGTTTACCCAAAGAGAAGAGGCTTATAGACTTACAGAAAGCTCTTTCCTCATCACGGACTCCACCTGTTCCTACCTGGAGATGTGAAGCAGGGGAACATGAAAAAGAGCAACCATGAAAGTGACATCAATGTATTAGCAGCGGCTCTTGCCAATGTAGTTTTTTAACAAGGAGAATTAAAAAAAAAAACTAAGAAACAGCCTTAGATTCTTCACTCCCGGCATTACGGACCTCGAAAAGAAAAAAAAAGCCCTCTTAAATATACTAGAAGCAGCTCAAGAAAAGAATTTTTGCCTATAGACACTAGACAAGTTCAATCGGGAAAAAACAAACAAAAACTGCAATTACCCACCAGTGTTCCAAAAAGAGTATGATTCCCAGACTTGTCCAAGCTCTAGGAGTAGGGAAACTGATGAAGCCACACTCGGTGCCGGCAAGGCCACGTCTGGCAGTAACTGCCAGCCTCCAATCAACTCCAAACACCAGGGCCTGCAGAGATTCCATTCACAAATCCCAGGGACCACGATCAACTCACACGGTCAACCAAGAGCTCAGGGGCAAAGACTGCAGGACTAGGGACAGGGATAGTAACGCCTGTACCCAGGGGCCTTTTATTTATTTATTTCCCTTTTCTAGCTGTTAATGAGCTTCTGGTTCCCACACTTCATTCACAATCTGAGTGGCTGCTGTTACCTACATCCCACGAGACCACACACAAAGCATCACACACAAAGCACAGTGGCAGCAGGGTGAGCAATCCAAGGAGACTCCCAGCCACAAACACCTGTGAAAGAGTCTGAAGCCCTCAATTTGAGTCCCAACTCTGAGTGGTACCTTGGGTTTCCCCTGGAACCCAAATATGCCAAAGGCCACCCACTTTAAAGAGGAGATCATCCTAACCAATCAGAAAAAGACTCAAAACCACTGAAATACCGGAGTCCAGAAAAGAAAGGCTTATCAGGGACACTGGTACTCCCTTATTGATCCATCACGTCCCCTGAGCAGAATCCCAAGCAACAATCAATCAACTCTGGAAATACTAAGAAATGGTTTAGCTCCCCAAGTCTAGACAATGAACTGGGGGAGAGCATGCTGATCACTGTACAACCCAGATAATTCATCCAGGCTCAGGATTAACTGTGGCAGAACTTCAACTCAGTCACTCAACTACTTAATACGGTAGAAAACTGTTTTAAACTCTCATGTTTGGGTCACAATCTTGCAAGTTTCAGTGTACCCAAATATCGCACCACATCACCATTTTGAGGGAGGATGCAAATCCTAAGCAATCTGGATAAAATTCAACATCAGTGAAACACCTAAACTAATGAAAGGGAAAGCTTAAACCCTACGCCAATTTTGGGTCCTGATCTGAGGCAGGCCTGGCTGATCACAGATTGGAGAACCCCATACAACCGACAAAGGCCTCCTCTGCAATCAGCGTGGGAACAGGGTCCCAAGGAGGAGGTCCGCATCTCCACGCCATGTAAGGACAAAGGCGGCGACATTTCCCGCCTCGGGAACCTGGGACTCTCCTGGAACCTAGGACGGGACAGGGACAAAGACTAAGAAGGAATGAGGAGGGGGTCGCCCCTGCTGCGCCGGCCAGGACTCTACCGGCCAAGGGGGGTGTGTGCTCCCGGCACGTGCGCGCGTGCGCGCGGGACGCAGCAACAGACAAAGCCGGGCCCGGGGGACTCGGCGGCCGGGGGCCCGGTGCGCGCGCACCCCCCCGTGCGAGGCGCCGCCGCCGGCCGAGGGGCCGCGAAGGGGGGGGGCGGATGCGCGCGCACCGGGCCCTCGCCGCCGCCGCCGCCATTTTGTTTCCTCGGCACAATGGGGGAGAGTAACGGCCGAGCGCGGGAGCGAGACTGGAGAGGGAGGAATGAGCCCGGCCCTGGGGCGAGAGAGCCGGGCGTAGGAGAAGAGCGCGGGGCGCCTCAGGCCTTGTCACCGCGACCCCTCAGCCGGGCCCGCGCTGAGTGGGAGGACTGGCGGGGGGAGGGGCAGAGGCGGGAGCGGGCCCAGCCGCCGCCACATTGACGCTTACCTTGTCGGCGTTCCCTTCCCCGACCGCAACCGCCGCCGCCGCCCTCCTACCACAGCCCGCCGGGGTCTCCCCCCAAAAGCCACGCGGTGCGCACCGGGCTGCTGAGTCCAACTGCAATGGCGAGAAGAGGAGGAGGAGGAGCCGGGGCCGGGGGCGAGCGGGCTGGCGGGCGCGCGCCGGGGAGGTGCGGGCCACGTGATCGGCTGGAGCCCCGCCCCCTGCCGCCGCGTTGCCGCTTGACGCAGGCCCAGCCCGGGAGGGAGGGAGCAACGAAAAGAGATAAGGAGGTGGGCTTTAGTCACGTGGCAAGAGCGTAGCCGTTGCGTTCTGGTCACGTGGAGTCGAAACGTTTACCTCCCTTTTGGAGTCCTTGATCATGTGACAGTGGCCGATACAGAGTCTTGGCCACGTGACAAGGACTTTGGCGCTTTCCTTTGGTATTGGTAGGTCTCCATCATGTGATATGGTCGCCGTTCTTTTTTTCAATGGCGGTTTTAAGCGGCATCACCACGTGGTTCAGGGCGAGAGGCGGAGTCTCCCCCTGCTGCTAGTTTCTGCGCCTGCGTGGCTGCCATCTTACACCCGTCTCTCGCGTGTACGTTGGCGGAAACCTCTTTGAGAGGCTGTCACAAGAGTATACTTGTAGTGGCCGAATCTTGGTCCGGGAGCTTCAACCTCCATCCGAGGCTACCTGGCGGAGCTTCCTCCATCTCCCTGTGTCTCTCGCTAGAGGCCTAGAAGACCCGAGATGCAGGTGTCGGGAACGGCCGGACAGATCTTGCTGCCCCGGGACCGGCGTCGGCGAGCGCTCCAGTTCTCAAGTCCTGCAATCAAACCCCCCGATGTAGTGTCCGGCTGCCCTGCCGGGCCCAGGCCTCCGAAGGGCAGAGCCGAACTACTCGAGATCTTCCAGTCGCCCTTTGACAAATGGAGAAACTGAGGCCCGACCAGAGGATTCACAGACTGCTCGTGGGAGAGCCGGGTCTGCAAGTCAGACGCTCGGCCAACCACAGCTCGGGGTTCATAAGTAAAGGCCTCAGAGCGTCTTCTCTTTTAAAGGCTAATGTTGAATTCTCCGGGGCGCTTCGTGAGATCCCCGATGTACAAACAGTATGTACAGTAAGCCCGGCGCCGCTTCAGTGTCAGAATCAAGCTAGCGCTTGACAGGCGTTACTAGGCATGTTGGCAGGTGCGATGCTGTTCAGAAGCTGCTGGGATTCGGAACAAGGAATCATTGGAAAGGTTTCCTACCTGAAAGAAGTCGTTCAAGACTTAAGGCATAACGTGGGACACGTGGGTGTCTCAGTTGGATTTTGGCTCAGGTCGTGATCTCATGGTTCGTGAGAATGAACCTGGTTGGGATTCGCTCTCTCTGCCCCTCCCCTACGCGCACCCGTGCTCTCACTCAAAATCTATAAATAAACTTAAAAAGATTTAAGGCATAATAACGATTTTCCTAGCAAAAATGTAGGGACGGTGCAGCTCCTTTGTTAATGACACAAGACCCATCGTCTGTTCCAGATTTGAGTCCCCTGTGTGACCAAAAACTCTACCTCTCTGAGCCTTCATTTCCTTTCTACAAAACGTTGGTTAAAAAAAATTAATGTTTGTTTATTTCTGAGAGAGATCGAGTGCAAGCGGGGGAGGGGCAGAGAAAGAGAGAGGGAGACACAGAGTCTGAAGCAGGCTGCAGGCCCTGAGCTGTCAGCACAGAGCCAGACGCGGGGCTTGAACCCACGAGCGAACCGTGAGATCATGATGGCCTGAGCCGAAAGTCGGGTGCTTAACTGACTGAGCCACCCAGGCACCCTAATGGTGATTTTTTTTTAAAGCACTTGGCACATTTCTGTGTCGCGAATAAATGTCTCAGTTATTTAAAAGGTAAGGTGTAAAAAATGTTACTAAAATGGATGCACGCTGTACCTACTGCCTCTCTGTTTACACTTTACTGAGGGTTTTGAACAGATAATGTATTCGCCTGATGCAAGCTATCAAATATGCAAGAGTGTGAAAGGACAAAACCCATCCGCCTCCTCCCTACTTCTTGGCAGCCATTGTGAAGTTTTTTGTTTTACTCCCAGAGAGGCTTAATTATGTGTGTGTATTTTTTTTTTCTGTCTTTCACTCAAATACTCAGCATCTTGCCCCCCCCCCCACACACACACTTGGAGAGCTTTCCTAAATAGAGCTTAAGAGTGAAGAAAGGTATGGTAAATTTAATGGTCCATGTATTCAGGTAGAATTGGTTAAAGGAAGTTTGGATTGTGTAAGGTCACCCTGACGAGGTGATAACCGGCCGTAACAAGTTAGAGACCGGCAATTACGGACACCAGGGAACTGGCTCCGAGGGGTGCGACTCCACTGAGCTAACAGCGCTACCAAGTGGCAAAACAGGGAAGGTGTCTGGTTTTCTGGCTCCCAAGTCCATGGCTGGTGAGATTTCTGAAGAACTTGCTTTTGAGGCTCTCAAGGCAGCACCTGTAAAAGGGGCTCCACACGCATAAAGGGGTAGGTAGGATCGTGGTTACAAGCAAAGCCTTTAGATCAAACTACAGTCTCCACGGAGTAGCCCAGGACAGGTTTGGAGAGTTCTTTGAATCTCAAGAGTTTGCTGAGGCTCTGTGAAGTGAGTGCTAGGGAACCTGTTACGGTTCCGATTGTTACCTGCTGGGACTGGTGCCTCGCACAACCTGGGTTTTGTAGGAAGAGACGCTGGGCTGCAGTGGAAGCCCTTAACGAACAAGTGCATTATGTTGGGGCCGCCCACCAGGAGCTGCGGGATAAGAGGTTTTCAGCCCAATCTTTTTAATTTTCCTTCATGTTTATACATTTTTTGAGAGAGACAGTGCAAGAGTGGGAGGGGCAGAAAGAGAGAGGGAGACGCAGAATCTGAAGCAGGCTCCAGGCTCAGAGCTGCCAGCACAGCCCAACGCGGTGCTCAGACTCGCGAACCGCGAGATCGTGACCTGAGCCGTGACCTGACCCGAAGTCAGACGTTTAACCGACTGAGCCACCCAGGCACCCCTCAGCCCAATCTTT